TTTTTTTTTTTGCCTTTTTTGCTTATGAAAACTCGAGTTTTAGTTTCTTTATCCTCTAATCGAGCATCTTTCTTAATTTCATTTTGACAGGTGAAAAATGTCGTCGGCTAAGATCCATCATGTGAACGGATTTCGCTGTGAGAAATGGGAGAAACTAGATTCTGCTATTTAAATTACTGAACTCTATTCTGGTTTGTTTTATGTTGTGTGCAGATATTTATCATTTTTTTGAAATCCTGTTTTGTTGAGATTTGTGGACTCTTTTTTTAGCAAACTTAAAAATTTGAACTGCTGTGAGATATTCTCTGTGACTTATCTGCTGCTGCAAAACACAAGGTTTTCTTCCTTTTAGATTCATTTGTGGCATTTTATTATTATTATTTTTTTTAATTCACTTTACTTCTGAAATAGGGTTTTGATGAACACCTCAGATAGTGGGCTGGGACCCACATTTCTTTTGATATTCTCATCCTTTGTGGTGGGCAAATTTTGAAGCCTTAGCTATATTTATATAGTTCACAATGTGGTTGGCATAAATTTTAGTGGGGCCTATAAACTTTAAATTCTGTCAACTATTATCAAGTCATTTAGTAAAAAAATATAATCAGTATGATTATATATGCAATAATAATCATATTCTTCAACAAATATACATAATATTGTCTATTCTGTATGATTATTTTCTTTAACGGACAATAATCATATTTTTCAATAAATATACATAATTATCTTTTAACGGCAATAAAAGTAAAATATGATATTTTATTTTATAAATATAGGTATTATTTATTTATTTTCGTAAGTAGTCATTTATTATGGCACGCTGAATTGGTAGTAGATTTATAAATAACAAAAATTCTATAGAGTTATCGGATGTTTTCTTATGGAGCTATTCACCACTTAATGTATTGACACTTGTCTAAATTGTATTTATTGTAGGACACGTGTCAATACACTATTGGTGAATAAGTGTGGATGACTCTATAAGTCGAGCCATCCGATTGTTCCACAACAAAATTGTTATAAATAATAATCGGTTAATATATAATCACATATAGATAAAAATATGCAAGAAAACACAAGTAGTTAAAATTATGTGAGTAATTTCATTTGAGTATTTATAATAAGGAAAA